ATACATCATACATCATACATACACCATCCATACATACATACATACATATATACATACATATGTGAGTACATAAAAGCGAGAGGAACGTACGAAGCGAACGGACAGCAGAAACGTTCTCTGCTGCTGCTTGCGAAGCACAGAAAAGTATTTTTGGAGTCGCACCACCGCTCGTCACTCGAACGAACGAACTTACCATCCACGAAGTCGAAATTATTGACCTCTTTACGAGAGCATCTGCGGCCAGGCAGTTGGATCCAACTGCGAAACTCAACTACTATCAGGCAAAACGGCTGCTAAGTAGAGCGTGTAATTTCCTCGTAAAAGGACACGAAGAGAGACAACAACGACAACGATGACGATTCAAGTATGCAAACTGACGACAATGAAAACCCTTGTTGTTTTCTTTTCTCTTTCTCGACTTGATAAAAAAAACTTTTAACGATTCTCTTGATGGATGAAGTGATCATGTTCTACTTTATTTTGAGATCATTTCGAGAGTTGGATCATTTCTATTGCTTTACGAAGAACTGTAAAACACTTCGTAATAATGAAAGAAGAAAAAAAAAAGAAAAAGAGAAAGAGAAAAAAGAAAAATGGAGAAGGAGGAGAAGGAGGAGAAGGAGAAGGAAAAAACAAGTGGTCGAAGAAACGTTTCAAGGTTTCATCGAAAAAACCTAGATCTATTTTCTCTTAATATGGCCAATTCCGCGTGAACTCGTCCGACCTCAAACGACCGACTTCGATAACCGCGAATGTCGTTCATCCGAACGGTGCCTCTCCACGTGGTCGCATAAGGTGTCTGGGTTGAACGATCCTACCAAGCGATATATACACTCGATGTATTTGAGCCACCGATCCACCGAGAGAGAACCTTGGATAGTACGAAAAAACAATAGTCCGACTCAAGGAACTCGATCTACCGATGGAGAAAAAGTATCCTGGTTGGTTACTCGTTTAACTTCGTCTATAGCTAGAAAGGTAATCGATCGATCCGATTTATATCTATTTCCTATAATAGATAATAAAAAATCAATAATCGTAAAGACGAACAAAAATATATGTAATATATTTTTGTCGATATAATCAATAATTTAGAATAGAAGCAAATTCAACCCTTTATCATCAACCTATTATCAGTACTTTTCTATTTTCTAATTAAAAAGATATACTAGGTTGTGTATAACATAAGTTTCAAAAGTAAAATTGGATGATAAGGACGTTACGTTACCGAAACGTATATCCACTCCAGCAAAAAGAGGATCCACGAGAAGATCGAATCTCGTCGTAATAGCGAGAATACACGAAAGAAAATAACCGTCGATGCATTCAGTCTTCTTGAAACAGTATTCCCGATGACGAAGATGACAACGACGACGACAATGATGATGATGCTGAGGATGATGATAATAAAGATGATAACGACGTAGATGACGACAACAAGGATGAGCTAGCAACAGGAAAGAGAAGGGCGTCCTCGAGGAATAAGAACAGCAACACGAGTATCAGCAATGCTAGCTACGATGGTTCCTTCTTTCCACTTTGTCTTTTTTTTTATCCATTCGTTGCTGGACAGTGTACGGACAGCATCGAGATGGATAATCTTCAATTCCTCTTTCGACTTGTACTTGCGTCTCCTTCCTAGACAGCCCCCACTGAACTTGCTGGTCTTCTTCTCAACCGATTCACCGCGCAGGCGCACCAAAGACCGACGCTTCTCTCTCTCTCTCTCTCTCTGTCTCTCTCTCTCTCTCTCTCTCTTCTTATTCTGCCTCTTGTCTTCGGTAAAAAACTTTCCGCCCACGTAAATAAAGAAAGAGAGAGGAAGACGATTGTGATCACGAAAATCAAGATTCTCTTCCGCGTGGCGAGTGGACGACTCGTCGAACGTTCATCGGACTTATTGGCAAGGGCAAGAAGAGGAAAAGAAGGTTAAGAATCGAAGGGAGGGTCGTTTAAGAGTCTTAAGATGAATAGAACACGTGAAAGCACACATCCTCATCGTGTGGTCCAGCACGCGTTGTGTCGTAATGATAATAATGATAAAAAAAATGAAAAAAAAAAAAAAAAAAAAAAAAAAATAATAATAAAAATACAAAATAAAATATTTCTCTCCCTCAAAAAAAAAAAAGAAAAAAACAAAAGCTCCAAAAAAAAAAAGAAAAAAAAATCAAATAAAAAAGATCACGCGAAAGGTATGGCGAACACTATACCCACCCATCTACCACCGTTACTACCTATTACCACTTGGTTTGATTAAATCGAATCGAACTAACGTCTAGGAACAACGAGCACCGGCTAGGAAAGAAAAGATGAGGAAGAATAAGGAGAAGCCGAGAAACGAGTCCAGACGCGAAGATCGCCGGCAAAGAAAGAAAGGAACTAGCTCTTCTGGCCTGTTGCTTCTATACGAAAGAAGGAGGGGGTGGTGGGATAAAGAGCAGGAAGGGGGGATTGCAGGGAAAGATGGAAAGAAGATGAAGAGAGAAAGAGAGATAAGGAAAGGGGCGGGAATCTCTCGAAGCAAACGTGCTTTGCGTCCCTTCCTCGTCCAGCGACGCCACGAAGAGCGAACACACTCTGCGACTACGGACCTGCAGCCGGCAGCAGAGGCCAGCTGCTACTCGCTCAAAGCACGAACACGCGCGAACCGAACCGCCTTCGGCCAACGTCGGCTTCAAACAAAACTACGGACTTTGTTCGTCGTTGCTCGCGTGCTCATGGGCGAGTAACTAACACGTATACATACATATATACACGTATATACGTATGTAGGTACATCGTATACAGAAGAGAGTCCCCTCACGTTTACTATTTAGTGCCCACGCACTCTCAGGGGCCTATACTATACTCTTTTTCGCTCCGTTGGTATGTTCCTATGCATTGTAGGGGGAAAAAAAAAAAGAAAAAGAAAAAAGGAGAAATAAACTAAAGGGGTCTCTCTCGAGTGAATTCGAAACGATGCTGACTCGGAACCGAACTAACCCGAAATGCAACCAACGAACGAAAAGGAAACGCGTGCCGTATGCGAACTTGCTTTGTATGAATGCCCTTTTTTTTCTTTTTATTTCGTTTCGTTTTGTTTTAGTTTGTTCTTTTTTTATTTTTTTTTCCATTCATCACGGAGTATATTTAAGTATATTGTCTAGATCGAAAAATCAACGATCTTGATTCATGCGGACCGGCCATTCGGTAGAAATAATCGTTCTATCATTGATACGTATACATATATATATATATATATATATATATATATATATATATACACGTATGTATGTATGTATATGCTACGGATAGAAACTTCCACGGGGAAAGTGTGAGAAATTGCAGCCGGAAATTATAGGCAAGATCGTATCTGTTGTACGTCAACTTTACATAGAGTATGTATGTACTTTACGTGATGTTCAAGTAACGCATACCGAATATCTCTCTAAGCATACAATACATCCTCTTCGAGAATCATACCCTTTATTATCAAGATCGTCCTCGACGCAAATAATTCATGAAATAATTAAGACAAAAAGAAATGAAGAAAAGGAGGATAACAGACAAAGAGCAAGGAAAAATAAGGAAAAATACCCTTATAAATTTCTTAAGAGTAATAGGAAAGACACTTTCGTCCAAGCAAGCTAGTTGCTGATAGGACGGTTAAAATGACCGTGAACGTTACTCAACGTCAACCATATATTTCCATGTGCGTTATGTTAGAGTGAAAGTTACGTTAGTTTAGCGGAGGTAGTCAAAAGATGGCCGCTTATGTGACTCACAGGGGACAACAATGGATGCAGAAGGAATCTGCCGAAGAGCCAATCTCGCTTATAAAAGCAATTGCCACTCGTTTCTACTCGCTAGCGAGACGTGTATTTCCTTTATAGATACAACGTAACAGTTTGTAATAGAGTTCGACGAATTTGCTAATGTATCCTCCGTTCATGTAACTCCGTTTTGTTAAAATGCAATTGCGGATAAAAATTTTAACAAAAAGAAAGAAAAAAAAAGACATTCACGAATCTATTCTATTTATATTCTATCGATGAATTTCTGATTATTTATTGTTCGCTTTTAAAAAATATTAACGATCATATTAAAAGAATATTTATTTAATTCTAAACATCAAAACATTATATTCTATGTAAGTTTGAATACTCGATTCGTCACGCTTTCTCCGAAATTTTTCCAACAACAAAGTGAATACTAACGGCGAGTCTTCGCTCACTCTCAACATTCAAATATAACGATCGCCTCGAGATACTAAACCGCACTGGTTTATCTAAATTGCAGTTTACGAGCAACGAGAGATCTTGCGGTAATCCCATTTCGATCGTATTAATCTTTAATTATTTTTTGTTTCTTTTCTTCTTTTTTCGGTCATTTCATGTTTCGTGACTACGATTGGAAAGCTATTTATCTTATGAAAAGAAATATCCTGGAAAGCAGCATTATCCATTTGTTATTCACTGGAAACTGTAATCTCTTGTACTATTCATGGCTTACCGATTTTTAATGCTCTATTATACATCAAACGTTTGCACGTTCCTGCCAGTTGTTGAAAAGTGATAATATACACTAAGAGCCACATTCAATATGAAGTGATCGCGTATGAGTGAAAGGACGACTTTATCAGGCTCATCTTTACTGACTCAGACTCAATAACTACCAACGGATGTAATGACAATTCTCCGAAGCGAGGTGGCGGTACTTATCACGGTATACATGGAACTCCAACGCTCTTATCTACTTCAGGTAAATATTTCAACGCACATCATGTATATAAAAAATAAAATTCTTGGCTAATTAAACAAAAAATATTTATCTAATCCATTAAAAAAGAAAAAAGAAAAAAGAAAAGAAAGAAAAAGAAAACAAACAGAACACATAAAATTCAACGGATTTAAGAATCGTATAATTTAATGTGTTATTGATCGTCTTTGTAAATGTTTCGCTAATTACGTGAATTATCTATTACAATGAGTTATTTTAATAATGAAACTAACACGACTTACCATATGCTCCATTGCCTTTTCTTCTAATTCTGCTAAAGTCCAATCTACGTGAAAACTCAATGGCTTCAAACGCGATTCCATTTCTCGTAACCATTTTCTTAAACACCGCACTTCATGTTCAAAATCTATTCATAAAAAAAAAAAAAAAAAAAAAAAAAAAAAAAAAAAAAATTGAAAATTAAGATTATGCAAAGCACACACAAGATTCAAATTATTTCTTCATAGAAATAGTAAACAATTACCTGCAGATACGTCCTGTTCGTCGGACACAGTCCGTTCTACAGGTGCCATAATTTGTTCTACTAATTCCCACTTTGTATTTAAATGATTAACACGCCACGCCACTTCATCTTTTAATGCAGGGGTGCATGCTACTAATTTTTCTGCTTGTTCATTGAACAATTTTCTTCTGTATGCCCTACGTCGCAACTCCTCCATGTGAGCCTAAAAATACAAAATTATTTATATTAGATTTACAATTTAAAGATAAATACGGTAGAAAAAGAATATCTTAATGTAAATGTACATACCGCACGTAAGCTTTTGTCCAAAAGATTTTCTTCTTTAGAATAAACTAATTCCTGAAGGACTCTTAACCACGAATAAAGCTCTGAAAATTGGCAACTAACTTCTTTCAAACTCCACGACTGAGTGGATACGTCTGTCTCGTCCCAAGTTAATTCACCATTAGCTTCCTAACGGAAAATATATAGCAATTTTTTTTGCAGTACATATTGCTGAGATTTATCTCATTCTCCTTACCTTACAACTATCAATTAAATTAGTATCCATAATATAATCATAATTGGACCGTATCGCAGCCCAAAAGTCATCTTTGCTATCTTCTCTGTTAGTCCACATTCTTTGACATTGCATTTGTTTTGGATCTTTTCTAAAAATACAAATATTTAACATAAGTATTATAATTTAGAATATTGCATACATATACAAAATAAATATATAAATAATGATTAAAAAATAAACCTTTTTTTGGTAAGACTGTTATAAGGTCTTTCTAACGGCATGCTCACTTGCTTCCGCCTTTCTAGACTATTGCTAGAAGGCTGAAGTGAGGATAGAGAGAAACTCATCTTCATTGCCTTGTGGTGATCTGGAAAAATAAAATAACAAATGAAAAACCAAGCACTTTGTTATCACAACTATAAACCAATTTAATCTAATATCTTAAAACCTAGACTTATTATTTTGACAACAATGTTGCTTAGAAATTAAATATGTAATAAATTTATAAATTTCAAACACTAGTTCTATGAAAATGAGGAGTTAAAGTCAACAACATCTATTTATTTAATAATAAAAGATTCTCAAATATGTTTACTTATCTCATAGAGGTTATAATAAACAACTATACAAATAAAAGATATAAAGCTATTTTGCAACAATCAAACATAATAGGTAGTTAATAACTTACATATAAACCAAAACTGAAAGGTTCAATAACCTTTTTAAAATTCATGTCACTCGCTACATAAGATACAAAACCTCGTAACGTACATTTTCAAAGTATCATGCGCGCACGCACGTACACACACACACACACACATACACACACAACATAACATAATCATGATGCATAAGTGCGAAAAAATATAAGTAAGAAACATAAGCATAATAAAAGGATATTAGCATTCATTTCGCTACCTTTTCCACAAAAGTGTAGTTATCGCGCTACGAAAGACTCACATACATATGACGTATCGCATTTTTTTTAATGGACTCGTGTGTCTCATACATTCTACATGAAAAAGACAAAGAAACGATGATAGTAAGGTCGAGTATCGCATTACACGCGTGTACATTTTCCACAGGTGCCACGATGAACGTGTATTTGAAAACTTGTCGGCGTAGTAGCAAGTGATGTATAATAACGATGGTAAAGAATGATAAATGGCAAATGTAACTGCTAACCGGAACTTTAAGATTTTAACACCTCACGCGCGAATTTGCATAGGCCTTAAAGAAAACTAGATAAACGGGAGGAATGAAAAAGAGACAGAATAACGGCGAGGGGAGAGTTTGGTGTCGTTGTCATCTTTGTATGGTTGTATGCGTGTATGTATATTGTTTTACTGATGTAGTGACATCGATGGTGGTGGGGTGGTATCGGAAGGAGATAAGGGGGGATAATATATATATATATATATATATTTATATATATATATATAGAGAGAGAGAGAGAGCCGGAGGAAAATAGAGAGGAGAGAGTATTATTTGCTCAGCGATTCAGAAGAGAGTTTAACGCCTGCGGTAACATTTCCGGCGATGGCAACTGGTCTCTTATATTTTCCTACCTTTACTAATTATGAAATAAGATTGACCTTTTTTGAAACATTCTCGAAGGCGTCGGGTAAGATTATGAAAATAGGGAAGGAAAAGAAAAGAAAAACGTCATCGATTCGAATAGGTTTGGAACGTGACAAGGTTCCACACCCCTTTGGCAATGCACAGGAAAAATTATGCCGAGACTCAATGTGATACGCCTTCAAATAACACCAAGCGAAATGTCATTGGAAAGATTTTTACAAAGTTTTTTAACACTCCCCACCCTCATGTAAGTTACTCACGTTTCTCCTTGCCGCTACGAAAGCCTGACCCGCGCCTCTCTTCCTTCTACTTCCGATTATTCACCGACACCGGACACTACATAATCTTGCTGTACCACTTTAAAAATACACCGTAAGCCGTGTAAACTCTTTTAGTTCCTGACTCCAGTTTATTTTTATTTCTTTTCTTTTTCTTTTTTGTTCCCTTTATACATATATATATATATATATATATATATATACACATACATATATATATATATATATATATATCACTTTTTCTTTCGCTTTTTTTCTCTTACCCAACGAAGAACCGCCGTGCACACCAGCGGTGTACACAGACGTGCACTGCGTCAGTGGCGCCTGCGCCATACGCGATACAAAACCGTGCTTCATTGCAACGTCACGGCGAGTTCACAGAGAGGCAAAGTGACCAATAAGCGGCATGACTAATTTGCTCTCCGCCAATCGCGTTTTCGGATCTTTTATATGAAAGATCGATGATTTAACTTCATTGGCTCGCAAGTAATTGAATTTCGGATGCTTTAACGTTGATGATCTTAGAAATACACACATACACACACAACAATATATTTATTCTACCAGCGTGCGTGCAGTAAAAATTATTCAAATACTTTGATTTTTATATTATATTAACTGTAAGATGCAGAGATAATATAAAGTATATATTAAGTGCTCTAATTAGTTTTATAGTTAAGAATGAAAATATTTAATTTTTATTTAAATTTTTCTCGTAAATTTACAAGAGATCCTGCAAATGATTAATATTAATTATTATTATTTTTATTACTTAGATTGTTGTAATGTTTACATAGAATATAATTCTATTGTATAGGATCAATACAGTCATGTTGCATTATTATTGATTTACTAATAAATTATTCATTAATATTTTCATGTAAAAATTATATAATTATTTATGATATAAAAGAAAAAAATTATTATTTTTAGTAATAGTTAATAAAGGCATAATGAATATGAACCAGTCATACAACATTCAGTCATAATGCATATATCTAATAAAAAATGTATCAGCATAATTATTATATAAATTTTATACAATATATATAAGAATTTTTACATGTATAGATATATAAGTTATACTTGTTCAATATGAGTCTTTCTAAAGTTAAAGCACAAATATGAGTTGAAAGATATAAGTAGATCTCGCTGACCCATGGAAACAGTCTCAAAATAGATGGTAAAGAGTCAAACATAACTGGAGTTTTTGTAGGATAGTATGCCAAAAAAGACAGAGATCAATGCCTTGTGTACAGCTTATGACATTGATACTTCAGAACTATAGCAATAACAAAAGTTAAATACTTTGCATTTTATGACAATTGTGTTAATTATATTCATTTGATTAATCTAAAATATAAGTGTAAAAAATTAACAACATTAGTAATATTTGAAATAATTTCTAAACTATACTCTTATTATACATTATATATTATATACATATATACATATATATTGAACTATATGACTATATGATTTAATATATGGCATACTAGATTTTTTTTAAGATAAATGATACGTATAAATCAATTTTATGCAAATACAAATTAAATATAAATTAGATTGATTTACGACAAGCTATACATCGTTGTTTTAGTATGTTAAAAATGGGTAACCAAATCCAATAGCAACCACTTAAAAATAACGATAATGCAACTAAATGAAAACACAGGATTGTATCTGAAATTATAAATTAAAAATAAAATAAAGCTGTATTGTAATTTTTTATAACCATAAGTAAAAGTTACTTACTACGTACGAAACAAAGGGATAATAAACTGATCCCTACTACTGTTGAAAATACTTTATGAAATTTATGTATGAAACGAGGTCCAAAGATATCACAAAGTGTTAAATCTTGACAAACTGACAATCCACCAATACTTATCCCTCCTAGCAATGCACAAGCCATGAATACATAATATTCTGTGGTATATGTTAATACTGTAAAAATAATTTATTAATCCGAGTTGTATGTAATCGGTGCTATTTTAACTCATGCATTTTTTAGAACATACCTATTAAAATAGAACACCCAAGCCAACATGCTATACCAAAAATTAATCTTCTATTTTGTGGTGCAGCTTGCAAAATCAAGAAAGTAATCGAATTTGGTAAAAAAGTACCAAAGCCTGCGATAATTGACATTGTAACATAATCATGCGAAGAAGATATTCTTGTAATAAACATATAAGGTAACGATATCCAAAAGAATAAAGTAAAAGACTTTATTCCGATCCATGTAAGTATAATTATCCAAAATCGAAAATATAAAAAGATTCGAATTCGATTTTTCCATTTGTTATTTGATTTTATAATTGAATTAATAAAGATATCTTCTTCACTATCTTCATAAGTATAAATCTCATTATTCCCAGCAAATGAAGAGTTGGTATCTTCTATTTGTTCTGTTCCATTGCAAGAAGAATTTTCCAAATTATTGTTTTCTGTAGATTCTATTTTCATATTAACATTGGGAAGATATTTTGTGGAAATTTCACTGTCATCTTCAATTGTTAAGAGTAAATTATAATGTGAAGGTTTTGGAGAAATTGGCTGCCGTAATAGGGCAACACCCAAAATAGTTGGTATGAAAATAATTGTTATAAGCAACAAAGCAATTTTCAAATGAACTTGCATAAGTAACAAATGAGTGAAACTTGGAACAATAATATACCCCAATGATACTGCTATATTTCTTATAGTAAGAGCTACTGATAATTTTATCCGGAAATACTTTTGCAAACACTCTTGACTTTGAATTAGTACAAAACTTGCTCCTATACCCATAACTGCACCAGCACTCAAACTAACTAAATATGCTCCAACTCCACCAGTAGCAAGATATCCAGATGCTAAGACACCAATAGATATAAGAGCTATTCCTATTAATCCAATTATACGTGGAACAGAAGACAAATCCACAATCACTTTAGACCATGGATCTGTAAAGAAATAGATAAAATAACCTTTATGATTATGACTATTAAAAAAATACAAATCATTAAATTACTGACCTGCTAAATTCCAAAATGCTATGAAAAGCATGGGTGTCAAAATAATCTTTTGGTCCCACAAGTCAAATTCGGCTGTCTTATTTTCGGTCAAATATCCAAGTACAATACCGTAGACTGATAGTATACTTGGTATGGTCATCTGTATGCGTGACATATAACATTTTGCAGATCATTTGTTTAATTTCTATATAATGTTATGCAGTGAATTATCTCTTAAATAATTTAGGATAGAATATTTTATGCGCTTTTAAAAAAGTTATATATGAAAATTTATAAAAACAACAAATAATAAATGACACTATTAATATACCTGAATTAGAAATACACCAATTAAAATAATCCATGAATAACCCCCATCTTGTATAGTTGGTCCAAGTTCTGGAAAAGATGTGATAATATCATCGAGATAAAGATGCTTAAGAACAGACATATTTCTTTTTCAATTAAGGTATTGTATGGGTATTATATCAATAGTTCAATAAATTATATAAAAAAACAATTATATTTCTGTAGGCAAGTAAGGCATAGCTATTCAAAGTATATCATATCTAATCTCTACCAAGGCGTTAATGATCTGATAACTAAAGATAAGAAATAAGAGAAAACAGTGGAAATCTTAATAAGTAATTTGTATAGGTAATACAATTAAATTTTACTTTTAAATAATTGTTAATTGTTTCTGAAATTTTGTGAATATTTCATACTACCGAAAAGATTATATCGATTGAAAAACAAAAAGGAATCAGTATGAACTTCTATATTATCATATATTTTCGAAGTATTTGTATTTCCCGCGTGATATTAATTCTTCAGGACTGTGCTTATCAAAGTGAATAGTATATTTATTTCGGATATTGTTTTTTTTTTATACTAAGCAATCGTTTGTATTTTAAATAAATTGAAGTTTAGAATATTTAACTGCTTCATATATTTTAATCCTAGTTCGATAATTAAGGAAAAACATTTAATTGGTGTAATATATAATGAAAAGTTTTTATTTTGGTATTCATTTTTATAAACCTACTCTATTGTCGTATTCCTTTTTTATTTATTTTTACTACATTTTTCCAGCACAGAAATTTGTAGAGCTTAAATTTCGCGAAGAGGTGTAATAATAAGATCCTTCACGAGAACATTTTCTGGTGTTTGCAATGTGAAAAGAATAGCATCAGCAACGTCTTTGGGTTGCAAAGCCAAACGTGGATTTTCCTTTAACCATTGTTGAGTCATTTTGGTTTCAACTAATCCTGGACAAATAGACTGCAACAGAAGGACTCAATATCAATTTTATAAAATAAATTTCATATAAATCCGATTAAAAAAATATTTTTGTATGTATTTTCATATATATATATATATATATATATACATAATACATATATATATATATATATACATAATACATATATATATATATATACATAATACATATATATATATATATACATAATACATATATATATATATATATATATATATACATAATACATATATATATATATATATGTTTACACAATAAATGTATACATTTAATGAATTAAACATCAATATACTTACAATGACTTTGATGTTAGACTCGAGCTGTGCCAATTCTAAACGAAGACACTCCGTCAACGCTGTAAGCGCAAATTTACTGCATATATAAGCAGGAGAAGCTGGACGTTCAGGATTCATTGGAATTTTCAATCCAAATGTGTCGTTTACGTTTACGATACAACCATTATCGATACCTAAAATCCATAAACTAATAAAATTAACTCGTAACTTTGAGTTATTCATTATGAAATTGTTCAATACTCTTTTACCTTTCTTTTTCATCAACTTTAAAATCTCCTTTGTAATGCATGTAAGACCAAGAATATTAAGATCAAATATTTTCTTCCAATCTTCTACTTCACCCGTAAAAAATCCTGTGCCAAGATTCAATGCTGCGTTATTTACCAATATGTTAGCAAAACCTACGTTTTTTTCAATCCATTCTATCGTTTTCATGACTTCATTTTGATTCGTTAGATCGCATTGAAGAGGTAATAATTTGCCTGGCTTCGATTTTAATTCTTCGGCGAGTGCCTACAAATAAAGTTGTTAATGTCTTGTTCGAAAGAAGAAAAAAAGAAAATACAAAAAAGAAATCAAATTCTTTAATTCGTTTTTAAACAAATTAAACTTACGTTGAGTTCATCTATTTGACGAACGAGCCCAATGACTTTCAAACCTTTTAAGACAAGTAATTCAACAATGGCTTTACCAATACCAGAACTGGCACCAGTTACGACAGCTACTTTGTCTAAACCACTCCACTCCATTTTTAATAAAATTAATATATTTTCTGTTACTTGGGTTCTTATTGAGAAATGATGATTCCTCGTTTAAATGTTACGAAGTTATACGTTCACGGTAAGAAAACTGAAGTAAAAAACTGAATTTTCTTGAAGCTTCGGCGTCTTTTATATTGTCTTAAAATGTGGCCCAAGATTAAGAAGGTCGTCGCAATCACATTCCGGTAGATGTTGTATTCTCGTTTTTGTATGATGCAGTTTGTTAAGAATCTTACACTATGTTTTGCACGAGACCGATACCGTTTTGTTTTTAGAAATATATCCCAATGACAGCACTTTCAATCATAACGAAAATATTATTTTGTATATGTATGTATATTTTTATATGTATATATATATATATATATATATATATATATATCTTTATATGTATATATACATGTACATATATATATTTATATATATATATAAATTCTCTTCGAATGATGATCTATATACATATATATATCATTATTCGGAAAGAATACAAGCAAAATTTTTGATAGTTAAAGCAATTTACGATTTCTTAAACATTTATGTTAAAAATGACGAAGTATTCGATGAAAGTATTGGGAAGAGTTAAGTTGTGAATCAAACGAGTAAATGATAATTTCTTTCCGCAATTGTTAACACCCGATAAAAGGTCACGAAAACATTTTATATTAAATTTTATCATCCGAAAATGATTGTTATTAAAAAAATGAAATATATATCATACATCAATGTAGTATTTCATATCACGTATTATCAAAAATTTAAAAGCTTAAAGCCGTATGATAAAATAACGGATTGTAGATAATTTATTAATAAATTTTTATGTTCTTCAAGTTTACTTTTATATTTTTCCTATTATTTCTTGTTTTCCCTTTTTTCTTTTTTAATTTCATGCACTTTTCGTTTTTCTTTCTTTGACTTTATTCTGTATGGCGTCGTTATATCTGAAATAATTTATTAAAATAATCTTTACTTCTTGTATTCTTTGTACTTTATGATATTTTCATTACCGTATCAATAAAAATTGTTTTCTTATTTGTTTCTTTATATCTGTCATGGTAAGCAAAGGAACAATCAGCGAATCTATAATTTCAAGCGGCGAATCGATCTTTTTTTCCAGTATATTCTTTATTTTTCCTAAACACGCTAAAGCTTCCTTAAATCGTCCGGACAATCGTAATATAATCACTTTTAATAAAATATATTCAAGATTGAATGGATCGTAATTACTGACTTTTTGAATCGTGTATAAAGCTTTGTCATAACAACGATGCATGCACCACATTATTGCATGTATTGCCATTGTATGGCCAAGTTCGTATATCTTCTGTGATATATAGTACAAATTAATAATTATTTATTGAAATTTATATTAATTCTCTCTAATGCTATGTAACTTTTAAATTACACAATGTATTTTCATAAAATATATAATTAGTAAAGAAATCATGTTCGTAAAAATACGTTCGTATCTGTATATTTTTTTTTTCTTTGAGTTTGATTTCATTTTATCGTCAGAAAATTAATTTTTTCTTCATATCTATAGTTTTAATACTTTTGTTTTTTTTTTTAATATATACGTTATACTTCGTATAGTAATATGTTAATATAAGTAATACTATAATTGTTTAATTATATCGTTTTTTATATAAATATTAACAAAATTAGATTATAAAGGATTTAATTTATTTTTCTAGTAACTAAGGAATACCTGTAGAAGTTTTTGAGCTTCCTTATTATTCTCATTTAAAATGAGAGCTTCCAGAAGAAATTCACGTGTCAATTCGATGTCTCTCAAGAAAAATTTATATTTTGCGTGGATTGTTAAAAGATCAGAGAGTCTCATCGCATTTGAATTTTTCATGAATTCGTACCAGTACAAGCAAAATGCTTCATACTTATTTAAATTTTTCATCGTTCTCAAAAGCTTATTCTTATATAAAAAAAAAAATTGTTATTTTGTAACAAATTATCTTTTAACCCCTTGACATACAATGACGTCTGGGAGACGTTATTCATTTTATGTGCCATTGTAGAGTTTGACGTCTACGAGACGTCAGGAACGGTTTTCGGTGGATGCCGTACAGTACATTATTAAATTATTCAATTATTTCACTCATGTGTCGATTCTGTTTTGTTTAAAATGTTCAAGATGCTTTATTTATGTTCTCTTTTTTTTCTTTTCTTTTTTTATTTGTATTTCAAGGGGTTGATAATATAAACACGAAAATAAATTAGCTACAAGAATATGTTAGTTACTTCTACATCGATGATCGATGTATCAGAAGGCTTCAATGCTATGATACGTTCGTAATCACTAGCCGCTTGCAAAAATAATTCATGCTCATAATAACAATCTCCTCTGGCTTCATAGCATTTAATCAACGATTTGATATAATGAATATCGACTTCTTCATAACTCGGCATGTTCACCAATTTAAACATTAATCGTGCGATCTCATAATTATTGATCGCTTTAGTCCATTTTCCTTAAAATGCCGAACTTAGAACATCTTTTTTAACATTTATTTTTTTTTTCGATTAATACTCGTACCTTGAAGTTTGAAAATAGTCCCTCTCAAAGCATAGATCTTATGAGATCTAGGATCGTATTTCAACATTTTTGTAATCAATTTAGTAGCTTCCGATAGGTTTTCATTATTTTTAACATAATTGAAGGCTTCTTTATATAACGTATTAAGTTCTTGCTGAATATGACATCTAGTTGGAATTTTTTCATAGGACCAGATATATTTTAACTAAAAAAAAAAGAGTAAAGAAAATTAAAAAATAAGAAAAATAATAACGATTTGACATTGAAGATAATTACGAAATCATAACAAATTTTACTCACTCTCAAAGTTTCTTTGCGTAGATGAGTAAAACGTTCTTTTGGTGGATTAAAAGCTTTATGTATATAATACAGTTTAAAGGTTTCCATTGTCGTATTATTTGAATTCTAAGCTTGTTTTAGAAATATTCGAGTCAGTCTCAACGAATAAGGGAAGGCTTACGAGTGAAAGGTTTTGTGAAAATGTTTCAAGCATAACCAATGTATGTCATGTAAAATTATTATTATTTTCATGTCATCAAAGAAAAATCTTTTATTAATCGCTACTTGCTCTACTATTACATTTTATTTTATTCGAATCACAGTGATCGCATTGGGTAAATATAGTAGCGACGTACCGAATCCTTTAGCAATACGATATAGAATTAGACATTTGTTTATAGTACGTGAATACATGTCTAACCATAAAAAAAAAAATCGAAACAGAAGCCACGTACTATTCAGCGTACTATCGAACTATCGAACAAATCTTAGAAAAGAAAATCACCAAGTTTCGCCCATTGGTCGTAAAACGATGTCTTGAATCTATATAAAATTCATTATATTTCATTTTATCTTATATTATCATGTAAGAATACTATTTAAAAAGAAGCGTATTAATCTTACAACGACGTTAGATGGAGTAGATAGAACGTAGGACACAGCATCTGCTATATCTCGACCTTTCAACGATGGCATAGTAGCTAGAACTTCTTCGGAGAAGGCACTGTAAGATGCCATCAATTCGGTTGCCACGAGACCAGGACTAATATTCTAACAATAATGAACATGACAAATCGATAAATTGATTCTAAGTACATTTGTTACGATTTATTTATTAATTTTACCGTGACACGTATTTTAGTCCCATTCAGTTCATTGCGTAGTGTCTTTGCAAGTGCAGTTAACGCACGTTTCGAGGATGGATAAACACCGAAACCAGGTACAGCAGGTACCCTTTCTCCAGCCAAGCTACCTATATTAATGATCAGACCATCTTCGCCTTTTTTACGCATTAATCGTGTCGCTTCTCGCATAGTCAAACAAACTCCTAAGACGTTCACATCGAAAACGACTCGCCAATCTTCAAGTGATCCTTCTGTAATATTAATTATCTGTAATATTAATATCTCGGAGAAATATATTTAAAATACATTTTTATTTTTAGATCGGTGATTAAAATATCAAGACTTACCCGTTATCGAGGACTCCTTAGCGATACCAGCGTTATTGATCATCAAATCAAGAGATCCAAGATTTTCTTGAATCCAAGAGAACGCAGCTGTTGTACTCTCTTCTTTGGTCACATCGCATTCGATTGCATGAAGTTTCCCTGGTGCTCCTTCTAAACTATTAGAAAGTTCCTCGATTTTGTCTGTTCTACGAGCTAATCCAGCTACTATCATACCTACAAATACATTTTATTTGTTTTCTTTTTATTTTCTTTTTTATTTCTTCTCTCTTGTACATAAAAAGTATTAGATTATCTGAAAAGTTAATACTGTTTTTCCGTTCGTACATACACGCGCGCGCGTATGTTAATATATCTATAAACATGTTACTATATGAATATGTATAAACAATATTAATTATGTGCATATATTGAAACAAAGCATTTATAAATTTTGTTTTTTTCTTTTTCAATTTTTTTTTCTATTTAATAATTCATTTCTATTTTTTGTTTCATTGAAGAGGGAAAACAATCGGTACGCATTTTTTACGGAAAATCGAATAT